TCCCCGGATACTTATTTGTAATAGCTTAGACTCTAAATTCCCGCAATTTATCGCTTTCTATATACTGTATAGTAATTAGGGTTTGTATGCGAAGATTCAAAATCAACCGCTAGATAACCTAATACAAGACAAATACATGTAAATTAATACACAATTCACACTTGCACCTCTAGGGTAATCCCGCTTGTTGCCTTAAAAAATGGGCCATGTTTGCATGTCAAGTACTTTGGCAAAACAAAACAAAACAAAGAAAAAACAAACAAAATGATCATAGTCCCTCGATGACGCTATCTTGTTGCCTAAGCAAAATGATCATAGTCCCTCAAGAAAATTGCCAAAATACTTGACACTATTGCATTCATGGTCTAAACGATGACCCGCGCCCGTCCCGTTAACATCCTAATACAAGGTTGTTCACCAAATACAATGGTGAAACAACACTGTTAAAAGGGTTAAAGACATAAGAAAGACCTTTGAGTAAATTAGGGTAGACAAACTCTTAGTTACTTGATCAAACTTGCAAAACACACTTGCCATTTTTCAAAACACACACCAACACAACTTCAAAACAAACTTTCAAAAACATTGAAACATCTTTTCAAAAGACAAACACCTTTGTAAAACATTCGAGTAAAGAATTGTTACAATGGTTGCCTAGACAAGGCATCTTTTTCAAAACCTTTTCAAAACCACACACACAAAGCACCATTTCACACAATTGAAAAGCAAAGGCAAGTGATCTAGAACAAGTAACTAAGAGCCCATGGATAACCATGGATGAAAAGGGTGCTAGAACCTTCCCTTTTCATAATCTACCCCCCGAACCCACGAAAACATCTCAAAGGTCTTTCCTGTGCTTTTTGACCTTTCCTTAGGATAAAATAAAAAAGTCGGTGGCGACTCTTGCTAAACCGAACAAGTGCGAATACAAACGCAAAACCTCAAGTCAGTTCTCCCACCGTATCACACTAACATTTTGATGTTGTTCGCCAGGGGGGCCTTTTCGAAACCCAAAGGCTCATCGTCGTAGATGGCGTCGAGCCTCTGTTCCTGCATTCCTTCTGTCGAGATATCGGGAGGTTATGGGTCGAAATCTTTTCCAGGACCTATATCTGGTGGCTCTGGGTCGAAATTTTTTCCAGGACCTGCAGAAGGTAGTACTTAGTCATTGGCCTTGGTGGCCATATATTTTACTTCGGCTTCGAGAGCCGCTATCATTCTTGTTTCGGCTACGCAAGCCGAAATTCGCTGTAACGCTTGCGACTCAGTCATTATCACTGAATTCGCTTCCCCAACCAGTTGGCTGGATGTCAGTTAGCCCACTGAAATCAATGTGAGACAAGTCTTCTTTATCCCATTGAAACCCATGATCAAGATGCAGGTACAAGGAACAAAAAGCATTTGGCGCTGGCGCCATGTCGAAGTCAGGTGCTGGACATGGCCCAATTTGAGCCAAATTTTTATCGAAGTCATCTCTCCCTAGGTGATTAACTTCTCCTAAGTAGTAGCTCTTATCTGCTTCTATATTCTCGACAATCCCATCGGGACGCCATAATATCACCCTTTGGTGCATCAGCGATGGTACTGCTCCGACACCATGTATCCATTCTCGGCCTAACAGTAGGTTGTAATTTGGTTTAGCCGATATGACCATGAACATGGTTGGTCAAAGGATGGATCCCACTTTGAGGTCTATTTGAATCACACCCATGGTGGTCCCTATTCCTCCTTCGTAGTTCGATAGGACCATATTATGAGGCTTAATGTCTTCATCATTCTTGCCTACTTTTCTTAGCATGAAGTGGGGAATTATGTTGATAGTCGCCCCACAGTCCACCAAGATTATGTTTACAGTGGCCTCTTCGAGCTTTGCCCTTATGAATAAAGGCTTGAGGTGACTTTTCATTGCCTCAGTTGGTGGTTCGAAGAAACCATTTTTCTCTTCAGTGCAACCATTACCCATGACAAAGTATCATACTGGCCTATGCTTGGCCATCTCTTGTTCGACTTCCCAGTCGTTTGCTTCGACTTCCATTTGGCGGTCGAATTCTCTTGGCAAGACCGAAACTGTATTTATCATGATGTCTAATGTGTCGTCGAACTCGGAGCTATCTTCATCACCAGCTTCATCTTGATCAGGCCATACCAATCTATTGGCCACTGGTTCCCTCTCCAAAGGCTTTCTTTGCTTTCGCTGGGGGACATTTGAGCTCGACTCTGGTTTTGGTTCGTTGGCAGCCTCTCTCTCAGCCTTGCGCCGCCTTTGGTACCTTCTCCACTGGGATCGAGACATTGGGTTCCTTCCCTTGTAGTTACTCGATACTTGAGCAACTTTGGTGGCACCTACATGAGGTTCTTTCTTGAGTGTCAAAGATGAACCTCTTGACACTTCAAAGGAATGCCACCTTTCTTCGTTGGGTCTCTTTCGACTCGATGTTTTGAGCCATGTATCGACTGGCACATTGGTTGGAGGCCTGAAAGTTAGTGGCCTCTTTTCCTGACTTGAACCCTTTTGATAGGTTCTTCTAGGATTGTGTCGAACATCAGAGCCTGCACTTGTTTGGGCATTTCTGCTCCATTTTTTGTTTGTTGCTCTCACACCTTCGATGTGTTCAGCAGCTTTCTTGTCAAAAATAGAGCTGCATCGAGGACACATCATTACTTCTGGTTTTTTCTTCTGGCATCGTTGCAAGAATTCTGCCAGATTTTCGTTCTCTCAGGGGAACGCTGTTCTGTTTGCTTGCTCTTGCCTGATGGCTTCCTCTGAAACTTTTGATTCAGAGATTTCGACCATGTTGACATTCATGTTGTCTTTAGTAGCAAGAGTCATTGTTTGTCGGATTCGCCATTTCTCTACTTCTTCTCCTAGTATTGGTTTTGTTGGTGTATATTCTACCACTTCTCAATAACATGCAATACTCTTGAAAAAGGAGTGTATTTTATAAAAAACGATTAAACTCGTAAAATCAACACAAGGTCCCACCAGGTGTGCCAATTTGTTTACTGTGAAAAATGATAAACAACCGCTGATCTTCCAAAAGGTAACTTATTTGGTGACTCGCAGGATCGATCAGATTGATCCTAAGACATGGCTGATTTTTATCATTTAAATGCTTTAAAATAGAGAGTTTCGACTAATCCTAATGATGATTAACGTAAGTAAGGTAGAGACACTTTAAGTAAATTGCATAGAGAAAAGCTTGATAAAGTAAATAAAAGCATTAAAGGCTTGTTAAATAAATGACTTCGACTGAGATAAATAAGTGAAAGCGATAAATTTCTTGAATGTAAAAGATTTCGATTAAGGTAAATGGTGTTTCACACATACATTCTCAATGATTCTTTCTCTCACGCTGGGTACTTGAATCTAAATGAGTGACTTGTATACAATGATGAACACCCCTAATAACTACTTTGAACACTTAGTATTTATACTAAAAATCCTAAGTAACTGCTGGGCAGTTATATCGCTTCGTGGTGACACCACATGGCACATTCACAACCCTCGACGCCTACTTCCATGCCACGTTGCGCTTGGTAACTGTTGGGAACCGTTTTCCCTCCAACAATTCGAAATTCAAACCGTTCGATCTTGGGCATCAGGGACCTTGGTCGAAAGGTTGCTCCTTCGACGTTGAAAACAACATGATTCCAACTTAGAGAAATTTCTCTAAGTATCTTGTCATTCTTTGATAAGCCTTCAATGTGATAAGCTGATCGAAGCCTTCTTGTGTAGGAAACTCTTCTAACTCATAATTAATGATCTATATGATAATAGAACGTTGGTGTCGAATTTAGGAGCCAACAGTTGTTGCCAAAGAAATCGAAGAACAACACAGATGTCAAAGTTCATGGATACACTGACTTAGATTTCAATGGAGATCAATACGAAAAGAAAAGTACTGCATGCTATATTTTCATGTTGGAAGGTGCTCCAATCTCTTGGAGCTCAAGAAAGCAAAGTATTGTGGCTTTGTCATCATGTGAAGCAAAATATGTGGCTGCGTCATATGCTGCATGCCAAGCAGCATGGATCGAAATGTCACTAAAAAAACTCAAGATAATGGACCCCAAGAAGATGAAGTTGTTTGTCGACAACAAGTCAACTATTGGCCTAGCAAATCAGTCGGTGTGCCATGGTCGAAGTAAGCACATAGAAAAGAGGTATAATTTTCTGAGGGATCAAGTCAACAAAAGAAAGATAGAGATAAAGCATTGCAAGATAGAAGTGCAACTAGCTGACATATTTACCAAACCTCTGAATAAAGTCAGTATTGACGAGTTAAAGAGAAGCATCAGGATGAAAAGTCTCGAGAACATGAATTAGGAGGTGTGTTAGAAAGTATAATTCTTGTTCATTCGAATTGTCGAAAGATATATGGTGTATGTTGAATAGCTAGTTGAATAGGTTATAAACTGTATTCGACAGAGCCGAATACATCAGCTATTGTTGTACGCCGAAATGTAGAGTTATGAGTTATAACTTATATATAGTCGAATTAGACCTGAGCATTGTGTGCCTATATAAAGGGCTTGTTAGTTTATAATTTTACATATATTTAATGCAGTCACAATTCACGTTTACAATTCAGTTAAAATCATAACAAACTTCCAAATCTCTCTCTCTTCTCTTTCTTATTCTTCTCTTTCATAAATCATGTTTCTTAAAAACCCTTTAATTTCTTCTTCTTCTCTTTCATAAATTATTTTTATTGAAAACTCTTTGTTTCAACAAATAATGCTGAAGTCCGATACCTTAAATGTGTAATTAGTGTGTTTGTGAGATATTTAATGTTATCTATTTCCAAATTCCATCTCACCTATTTGTATCCTTCGGTCATAATTCCCGCACATAATCCATATCCTCTCATTAGTCTCCATTTCTCTTAATCTTTCTCTCTTTATTAGAAAAGAAAAATAAAGAGATAGTAAAATTAAGAGAGAAATACAAGTGACAAAGAGTTGAACAACTTAAACTAAGTCCCTATAGTTCTCTAAGCATGGCCACTTCTGTTATGCTATCCACTTCTTTCTCTCCCACACATCACCGATCCCTTTTCCGCCCCTCCAAACCAAAACTCCCTTCACACTCCTCCCTCAATCCCCCATGTTGGAACACAAAACCCCTCTCTTTGCATCACACCTTCAACTTCACCTTCCTCGCCCGCTCTTTAACAAAAGACCAAGAAAAATCAACCCTCGTCGGCGAGGATTCCGCAGTGTTCGATTTGACAAAACAGAAAATATCCTCCTGGATTTACTTCACCGCAGTTTTAGGACTTGTTCTCTTCGTCCTAAACGTAGCTTGGATCGATAATTCAACTGGCTTCAGCAAACCTTTCGTCGATTCCGTTTCACGGCTTTCCGATTCTCACGAGGTGGTAATGTTGATCCTATTTCTCGTTTTCGCCGTTTTCCACAGCGGCATGGCTAGCCTCCGCGACGCCGGCGAGAAACTCATCGGAGAAAGAGCTTTTCGTGTTATTTTTGCAGGGATATCGCTACCCTTGGCTGTCACTACTGTTGTAAGTAATGCTTTATTTTGATTGGATAATGGAAGAACAAAGGTTGATTCAGAACTAACTGAATTTTTCATTAATGGAATCATGATGCAGGTTTATTTTATTAACCATAGATATGATGGAGTTCAACTCTGGCAGCTTCAGAGTATTCCAGGGATTCATTCATTTCTCTGGCTTTCCAATTTCATATCTTTCTTTTTCTTATATCCTTCAACCTTTAATCTCTTAGAGGTTGCAGCAGTTGACAAACCTAAAGTACATCTATGGGAAACTGGCATCATAAGAATAACCAGGCATCCACAGGTATTAGTCTTAACACTCTATACAACTGAGTCCAGGATCCACTATATTTTTATGGTTTCCCATAACACCAACGCCTCTCGAAAAAGGTGTGTCAGTGTTAGTATGAACACTTGAGATTACATTTAACTTGTTAATTTTTTCAAATTATTACTGATGTCAACATGTCAGTGTCTTCGTGTTTCTGGTGTAACTTTGACCAATAGTTTATATGCTTTTAATTCGAATCTTGTATTTTTCATAAGATTCTTGCTTTTCTAGATGCAAACTAACATGGTTGGAACATCACTAATACCTTATATCTATATATTAAGAGTAGCATTATATCCTCTTCAAACATCCTCAAATAGTTGTTTAAATAGATATGATTGACTCCTTTTCTATTTATACACATTTATTTTGCTCGGTTTCGATTGCTGAGTGAAGGATCTGTTTTGCTCTTCAGTTGGTTGGCCAGGTAATCTGGTGTCTTGCTCATACGGTTTGGATTGGAAATTCAGTGGCTGTTGCAGCTTCAATTGGCTTAATTTCACATCATCTATTTGGTGCTTGGAATGGAGATAGACGATTGGCTATAAGATACGGAGAAGATTTTGAGAAAGTCAAGAGTCGAACAAGTATTGTCCCTTTTGCAGCAATCCTTGATGGCCGTCAAAGATTACCCGAAGATTTCTACAAGGAGTTTATTCGATTACCATACTTAGCGATTACTGCAGTAACACTAGGAGCTTACTTTGCACACCCCCTTATGCAGACTGCTAGCTACAACCTCCATTGGTAGGTGGAAACAAAACATTATGCCGTTTCATGTGAAATCTAATTTTCGGGATGGAAACTCTAATGCCACGTGCTGTAATGTGCTTCAATAGACAGGGATGGAAAATCAAAGAAGAAAATATGAATGATTGGAATAGATAAACAGAAAAACTGACAGATCGTGCACTTCTGTAAACCCGATCTCTTAATTTTATGACCCAGAAACAGGGCTGTCACTCTGTATTGTATACCATAAACCATGTATTATATATATGGTGCACAATGACATTTCATAGCTAACTTGTAACTAAATTTTGTAGATGATTTGTAACTTAAAAATCTATAGTTTATCAGTTACATCTTCTTATGGATTAGTTACACTGCCATAGATCATATGAAGCTGTGATCCGTGTTAGAATCACCCATAAAATCATGAGATTCTATTAGATGTAAAAATGAAATTCTAGCATAAGATACTACATCTTTCAGAAGAAACATATAAAAAAACTTCCCAACTTGTTTTCACATAAGAATTATATTTTAACACAACGTCACAATCGATAGCTGTATAGAATTTGAGAATGAATCTCATAACAAAAAAGAACTACACAACATCAAATCAAATAGCTAAAAATTATCTATTCTAAAGTGGGTTTAGTTTGTTTTCTTTTTTATTTTCTATGATGCGATTTTGTTTCATTTCATGTTTCTTGAGCGTTATCGGCCATTGTTATTGTCCTTATGAGAGAAAGGACGAAAGGAACTCTATTTTGATTAATTCTATTTATAATTTCAAATTATTTTAGCTTCCTTAGCTATGATGCCGGATTAAGATGTTTATTTTGATACTTAATCGTTTGAGTTTTGTTGTTGTTATTTGATGTTATAGATGGACTATCGGGTGGATATGACACGCGAAGGTTGTGTTAGTGTAGTTAAAAAAATGCAAACGATTCATAGTACGTATTTTTGCTTTTGTTTTTGTTTAAGTGATTATTAGATTAAGATTGCTTTTAATCATTCTTGTATTTTATTCTCACTTTTTATAGGAATCAAGAACGTTGAGGTGGATTTGAGCCATCAAGTTATTAATTTTAACAAGAAATCATGATTCTTCCAATTAGAGCAAGCAGATTTAAGGAAGCATTGCGAAGAAACTCTGAGGCATATTATCATATGGTAATGGTAATTGAAGAAGCTCTAAGGCATTTCATTATGTGGTAATGGTATATGATTTGCTTTCCAAAGTAGTTGAATTTTCTGAACATCATGGTCATGGATACGTTGGAGAGGACATTCTAAAGATCAAGCTTTCCGACTCGACATTTGTGTGTATATTGATTGAACAACATTTATAACTTTTGCTTCCTTATAGAAATATAGAATTTTTACATAATATAGAATTCTCTCTTTTAAAGGGGTAATTTTGATTCAACCGTAATGTTGTTCTATTGTGATATGATTGATGAATACACAAATTTTGTATGTCTACCATTATTTTATTTGCTTTTCATATTTTATTTTTCCCAATATATTATTATATATTATTACTCTTCATATTACTTGATTCCAACAAATTATGGATAATAATACATAATAACTACGTTATTTAGATTTTTATTGGTTTTTTATTTTTAATTAAGAATTATATATCCATATACCATAATTTTCTTTGGATATCTCTATTTTTTAAATTTGATATTTAATTCAATTAACATAATTTCGCTACATTCTTATAAAACACCGGTACCTTTTAAATTAAATTAATATTTTTTATGACAATCATAATTTTAAACATTTTCTTCTTCTTAATTTGTATATCATTTATATACATTTCTTAACCATCACCGTATCATATTTATTTACTATTTATAACGATATTGTGCGATCCGTGCAAATGCGCTGGTAGATGACTACTTAAATATTTCATTTTTTTCTACAAAAATATATATTTTTGATGCGCAGAGACTACTTAATTGGTATATCTTTTATACATTTTTTTTACTATCATTATACTATATTTATTTGCTATTTATAAAGACATTATGCAACCCGTGCGAACAAGACATTGTGCAACCCGTGCGAACTCACAAGTAGATAATAATTTACTTATTTTATTTATTTTTTCTATTAAAATATACATTTATTACATGCTGAACCTACTTAATTTATATATATTTTATATAAATTTCTTAACGATTATTATACTATATTTATTTACTATTTATAACGATATTGTGTGACCCATGCGTATGCACATATGACTACTTAATTATTTCATTTATTTTTTATATTAAAATATATATTTTCGATAGGTCAAAATTACTTAATTTATATATCTTTTATACTATTTTCTTAATTATTACTATATTTTATTTATTTTCTATTTAAAACTAAATTGCATGACCCGAGTGCACGGGTTCTTTAATAATTATATTTTAACACAATATCACAACCCATAGTTGTATAGAATTTGAGGATGATTCTCATAACCAAAAAAAAATACACAACACCAAATAGCAAAAAATTATCTACTTTAAAGTGGATTCAGATATATAGAAGTAATACATGACATCATAGAGCATCCAAAGTTGTTATTCTTATTGGAATCACAACCATACAGATGTTAGATAATGATCAATCTTGCAATACAAGATTTTATTGAACTTATATAGGCTGATTCATCTACAAAGTCCTCAAGTTGAATGATGTGATATAAAGTTTTACCATATTAACTTTGTGGAGGAAATGGTACCCATCCCACCAAGAAGAAACCCAAATATGACTAAAGAAAAAAACTTTCGCCATTTTAAACATTCACCTCCATCAACTTCACTTTAACATCAAATACAAACTTAAATCACCGACAATACAAATCATTTTTACGAGAAAAAAATCAGATATGAAATAAAGAGAAGAAAAAGTATCTGAGCATCCTGTGTTTTTCCCCTCTAAAAATCATAGGTTTGTTGTCTCTCTATTTCAGATTTGTCGAACAACAAGGATTATGTTTAAAGTGGAATTCGTCATTGTTGTTGTAACACTTTTTATCAGTTTGTTTTATTTTTTATTTTCTATGATTCGATTTTGTTTAATTTCATGTTTCTTGAGTGTTGTCAGCCGTTGTTACTGTGCTTAAGACAGAAAGAACGAAAGAAATTCTGTTTTGATTAATTCTATTTATAATTTTAAATTATTTTAACTTCTTTAGCTATGATGTCAGATTAAGATATTTAGTTTAATACTTAATCTTTTGAGTTTTGTTGTTTTTTTTTTTTAATGTTATAGATGGAGTGTGGGATGGATATGACACACGAAGCTTGGGTTAGTGCGGTTAAAAAAATTAAACCATGTGTGGGATTTTGGATCGAACTCTAGCATGGTCGAAGTACATGCTGTAGTCGAAGATGGGTCTAGGATGTACTTGTCGAAGAATGCTTGTTAAATTAGGTTTTAGTGTTTAAACCCTAATTTGTTAAGTTAGCTTGGTTGTTAAGTTAGCTTGTATAATGGGCCTTGTGGAAAAAGCCCATTAGTTAGTATGTTAGGTTTTATTATAAATAGCATACTAGTCTCTCATCATTGCCATCACAGCAAATCCTAATTTAGGGTGAGAGGGTTATTTGTTATTCTTGTAAACTTGTAATCTTGTTTTCTAAGAGAAAGTAAAGAATAGCAGTTATAACCAATTCTTGTGTTCTTCTTCTTCCTTGTTCTTTATTCTTCCCTTATTCTATACTTTGTTATTGGCATTGAATTCACAACAAATTGGTGCGGTGAGCGTGGAGAAGATGCCTTCAACAAAGTATGAGATTGAAAAGTTCACCGGAGTGAATGATTTCGGTCTATGGCGCTTGAAGATGAAAGCCCTACTGGTTCAGCAGGGTTGTTTGGAAGCGTTGAAGGGAGCGACGGCGATGGACGCTGCGCTAACAGAAAGAGAGAAGACGGCCATGATCGAGAAAGCACACAGCGCAATTTTATTGAGCCTTGGTGATAAGGTTCTTCGACAGGTATCAAAGGAGACGACGGCATCAGGGTTATGGGTGAAACTTGAAAGTTTGTATATGACCAAATCTCTGGTAAATCGACTCTACCTGAAGCAAGCTTTGTATTCATTCAAGATGATCGAAGACAAAGTGTTGGCTGAGCAGTTGGATATGTTCAACAAGCTGATTCTTGATCTTGAAAATATTGATGTAAAGATTGATGATGAAGATCAAGCGTTGTTATTGTTGTGCGCTTTGCCCAGATCACATGCTCACTTCAAAGAAACCCTCTTGTATGGAAGAGAGTCCCTGACCTTTGAAGAAGTTCAATCAGCCTTGTACTCTAAGGACTTGAACGAACGTAAGGAGCATAAACCTTCGACGGTTGGTGAAGGTTTGGCTGTTAAAGGAAAATTCGACAAGAAGAAAGGTAAAAATCAGTCGAAGTCTTATAGTGGTGACACATCTGGTATTAGATGCTATCACTGTAAGAAAGTAGGTCACACAAGAAAGGTGTGCCCTGAACGCCTGAAAGATCATGGAGGTAAGGATAATGGCAATGCAGCTATTGTCCAAGATGATTTCGAATCATCTGATGTTCTTGTGGTTTCAAGCAACAACTCGTCGAAGGAGTGGATTATGGATTCTGGATGCACTTGGCACATGACTCCAAACAAAGGCTTGTTCGAGGAATTATGTGATCAAGATGGTGGATCGGTATTGCTGGGAAACAACAAAGCTTGCAAGATTGCAGGCGTTGGATCTGTGAGATTCAAGCTCCATGATGAGTCAATAAGACTGTTGACTGAAGTCAGGTATGTACCTGATTTGAAGAGAAATTTGATTTCTCTTGGTGAATTCGACAAGAAAGGATATGTTTTTCAAGGAGAGAGAAGTATCCTGAGAGTCATGAAAGGGTCGAAGGAAGTCTTGAGAGGCGTGAAGAAACAAGGCTTGTATACCCTTGAGGCTGAAGTTGTAAGTGGTTCGACAAATGTTGCATCCACGAAACCTTTGTCAAAGACAGAAATTTGGC